GGAAATCTCCACTTCTTTCTCCCTTTCTTCTGCCAGAAGCTCAAGCCAAATGACTTTACAGCTGGAAAGGCAAGAGGGGTGGAAACCTCTGTGCTGTTCCCAAAGCAGAGAGAAGGAACACCACGTGCCCACCAGCCCAGGTCCAGCTTCACCTCCTCCACACTGGGCACAGGAAGGAGGAGGCAGAAAAAGCCAGACACAGATACTTCATGACAGGCAGCGAAAAGGGAAAAGCTCTTCACCGATGGTTGGATGAATAGAGGGATCATTGAGCTACACTGCTGGGCCAGGTAGCTGTTGGTGGGTTTTTTGTTGTTGTTTGTGTTTTACAGTACTTCAAAAGAAGAGTATGAGATGCAGCGGTAGTGGTTCACGCCTGTAATCAAAGCTACACGGGAAGCATATGTAAAAGAATCCTGGTCCAATGCCAGCCCCAGGCCAAAATAAGAGATCCTTTCTGAAAAACAAACAGAAAGGCAGCATGCCAGTATCTCATACCTCACTCTGAGGATGGCGGTTCAAAGCCAATCCAGGCAGAAAAGTCCATGAGACTCATCTCCAACTAACCAGCAAAAAGCCAGAAATAGAGGTGTGGCTCAAGTGGTAGAGTACCAGCCTAGAGCAAAAATGTCAAGCAAGAGTGCCAGGGGATGAGTTCAAGTCCCAGTAGTGGCAAAAAAAAAAATTAAAGGATGCGACGTATAATTAAAAATGTTCGATTAGGCTGTGCACCAATGGCTCAAACCTGTAATCCTAGGACTCCAAGACCATTGCTGTCCAGAATGGGGCTCCTTCAATAAGTGCTAAGATTTCTAACAACCACAATTGGTACTTGGCTGGAGTGTTGGTCATGAGGAAGTAACTTTGGATAGCCTACTTGACATTTTGCATAATACTGTTATAGTAAAATGAGGTAAAAAGCAACATCCCATGACTCCCCAAACATTGGAACAGATGACCTTCAGAGGCACACGCTCCCTTCTGAATCCACGACAGGCAAGTATTTCCTCCACGCCAGCTCTACACGCAGCCGCACCAGGAGTCACAGGCTTTCAGGCACTCGTGGTCCAGTAGGAGAAATATGTAATTGCGAATAATTCTTTAAAGGTTCCAGGAGATACACAAATACTATCTGAAAAGATTAGTAGGCAGATGGGTTCTGAATATGGGTTTTACAAAATTCTGCCTGTGGATGCCAAAGGGTAATGACTTTCCAAAAGATGAGCTATGTTAATGAAACTCGGTGACTGTGTTGGCCTTGGTACTGGCAAACTCAGATGGTGCCTTCATGACTTTTAACCATCATCTCTTTCCTATGCCTTGAATCCTATCTGCAAGTCATCTTTTCAGTGTGGGCCCATTTTTTAGAAAGCTCCCCATTCAATGACAAGCCAGTGCATGCTGAAATCACCAGCCACAAACTTATTTTCCAAGTAAGTAGTGAACATCATGAAACGATACCCAACTCTTTTGTTTTGTTTTGGTCGGTCGTGGAACTCTGGGCCTGGGCGCTGTTCCTGAGCTCTTCAGCTCAAGGCCAGCATTCTACCACTTGAGCCACAGTGCCACTTCCAGTTTTCTGGTGGTTAACTGGAGATAAAAACTCACAGCTGGCTCTGAAGCGCCATCCTCAGATTTTAGTCTCCTGAGTAGCTAGGATTACAAGAGTGAGTCACCAGCACCCGGCCAATATCCAATTCTTAAATGATACATAAAGCAACTAGGATGTTTAAAGAAAAGAAAAAAACATAGGAAAATAAATGAACTTTTCAATTAACCATGTTTTAAAGAAAATACATTTAAAAATTCATGGAGAGGCTGGGCACTAGTGGCTCACACATATAATCCTACTTAGGAGGCTAAGAGCTGAGGATCATGATTTGAAGCCAGCCAAGGCAGAAAAGTCCCTGGTGAGAGACTCTTACTTCCAATTAACTACTCAAAAACTGGAAGTGGTGCTGTGGCTCAAGTGGGAGAATGTTAACCTTGAGCACAAAAAGGCTCAGGGACAGTGCCCAGACCGAGTTCAAGCCCTACAATGGACCAAAAAAAAAAAAGAAAGAAAGAAAAAAAAACTAAGTCAAAGCCCAACAAAATAAATACCAGGAAATGAATATTCACAAGAGGGAAGGAGAGGGCCAAAGGGAGAGGGGGAGAAAAATGAAGGGGGCTGGGGGGAGAATTATGCAGGCAAGAATTCACTGTATATACCACAGAATTGAAACCTGTAAGTGAAGAGGTTGCAGGAAGGTAAAGATTGTGAAATGATGACACATCAAGAAGATGCACTGGACATATAAAGTGCACTGTTAAAACGCAAAAGAAATTAAATTCATAACCTAAGATTGAGATTAGTGAGTGAGTGGGTGGGTTATGAAATGGTGACAGTGATCAAGAAGCATTAATAAAGCATTAACAAGAAGTATGAATACACTGCCTTGGTGAATGGCACGTAAAAGTAATAAAAAATATTCAAAGAAATATATGGACAGCCAGGCAC